TGGATTCCTTCTTCCTCTGAGACACATCGTAAATGGGGCCCAACCAACGACTTTTTGTATAGGACCCCATTGACTTCGAAGTACTTGCTCAAATATCGGGCCATCTTTTCCACTTCTTGTTTGTCTCCCGCAGGGACTCGAACCTGCAGGAGTTCGCGAATCGACTTCCTCCAGTCGTCCTTCTCGTCAATTTCCATGGTTTCGCTAAGAACACTGCCTTCGAGGTGCATCGTGGTAATGTGAGTGCCCACCTTTCCTTCGTTCGAGCTTGCAATTCTCGCGAGCCAGTCGGCTCGTTTGTTCTCTTCTCGCGGGACTTGTGTCAATTCGAACTTTTCCAATCCTTGTATGAGGCTCTGAATTTCCTCTGCATATTTCAGCATTCTGTCCTCCTTAATTTCGCAACTTCCCAGTACTTGCCCAACGACGAGCTGCGAGTCGGAATGTGCTGCTATTTCTGTTGCTCCGCCCCCGATTGCCAGTTGTATCCCCTTGATAAGTGCCTCGTATTCAGCTTCGTTGTTCGAGGCTTTGAACCCTATTCTAATCGCGAAGCCGAGTTGTTCGCCCTTGGGGGACACGAGGACGACTCCAAAACCAGATCCCTTCGCGGCCGAGGACCCGTCGACATGCATCGTCCATTTCTTCTCCTCTCCTTTGGTTCCTTCTTGAATAAAATCAGATAAGGTATGGGCTTTGATGGCTCGCCTGGGCTCGTATCTGATAGAATATTCACTTAGCTCGACTGCCCACTTCACGAGTCGACCCGAGACAGTGGGTCGACCCAATGTTTCTCCCAGCTGAAAGTTTGTTCGCACTACTATCATATGATTCAGAAAGTAAGGCCTCAATTTCCTAGCCGTTATCACCAATGTCAAGGCGGCTTTCTCGACTTCGGGGTATCTCGTCTCCGCACCTTGGAGCACTCGGCTTGTATAATAAATTGGCTGTTGGGAACTTCCGTCTTCCCATAGTAACACTGAGCTCAAAGCAAACTCTCCCACCGAGATATATAGGATCAACTCGTCACCTGATTCTAGTTTTGTCAGCAAGGGCAGCTCGCTTAGGAATTCCTTCAACTTCTCAAAGGCCATCCGTGCCTCGTCATTCCACTTGAAAACCGTCTTCTTCTTAAGTAGTTTGAAAAAAGGGAAACTCTTCTCGGCTGCTCGAGCAATGAATCTGCTCAAGCCTGCGATCCTCCCCGTCAGCACCTGGACTTCCCTGATGTTTCGTGGTGGGGCCATGTCGAGTATAGCCTTCACCTTATCTTGGTTCACCTCGATTCCCTGTTCTATGACAACATATCCCAAAAACCGTCCCGCCTTTACTCCAAAGGCACATTTGCTCGGGTTCAACTTCATACCAAACGTCCTAAGGGTGTTGAAAGTTTCCCTTAAGTCGGCTGGGTGTGAAGTCGAGGACTTACTCTTCACCAGGATGTCGTCAACGTACACTTCCATGTTCCAGCCGATCTGGGGTTTGAACATTTGATCCATCAGCCTCTGATAGGTTGCTCCTGCGTTTTTGAAGCCAAAGGGCATGACGACATAGCAGTATGTCCCCTTGCTCGTCACGAAACTTACTTTACTTTGATCCTCCGGTGCCAAGGGAATTTGGTGGTATCCTTGAGATGCGTCCATCATGCTCAACAACTCGCAGCCAGCTGTGGAGTCGACTAGCTGGTCGATTCTAGGCAAAGGATAATGATCTTTTGGGCATGCCAGGTTTAAGTCACGAAAGTCGATGCACATACGCCATTTGTTTAATGCCTTCCTCACCATCACTGTGTTGGATATCCATTCGGGGAATTGGATTTCCTTGATATGTTTGGCCTTCAGCAACTTATCCACCTCGACTTCGATTGCTTTGTCGATTTCAGCGCCATGGTGCCTGAGTCGCTGCTTCACGGGTTTTCTGAGGGGGTCGACATTGAGTTTATGCTCCATAACCTCCGGGTCGATTCCTGTTAACTCTTCGGGAGAGAAAGCAAATATGTCCCTAAATTCTTTCAACAATCCAACTAACTGCTCTCGCAACTCGTCCTCCAACTCTCTCCCGACTTTGGTGGTTTGGTCTTCTGACTCTCCAATTTGAATCTCCATCAATTCTCCATGGGGCTCGAGGTCACTCCCTCTCGGCCTCTTTTCGCTCGTCATTGGTTTCTTGCCTTCCTTGATCTCAGCACGTTGGTTGGTTTTGACTGCGATCTGGTAACATGTTCTCGGCAACTTCTGATCCCCTCGAGCTTCTCCCACTCGATCTCCTACAGGAAACTTCAACTTCATGTGGTAAGTCGACACAACTGCTTGGAATGCGTTGAGCGCCGGTCTTCCCAGTATAATGTTGTAAGCTGACTCAACATCGACCACCACGAATCTCACCATCTTGACTTTCCTTAAGTGGCCTTCCCCCAGGACGACAGCGAGCATGGTTTCTCCCAAGGGAGCGACTTCTGAGCCATTGAATCCAAAAAGTGATGTATGTAGGGGTGTGAGTTCAATGTCGAGCTCCATTCTTCTGAGGCATTCATAGAAAATCACGTTCACGGAACTCCCTGTGTCGACAAACACCCTCTGCACCTCGTATCTCGATATCTGTGCCATTATCATCAGGGCATCGTTGTGCGGCCTCTCGACTTCACCAACGTCCGCCGGTCCGAAGTTCATTACTGGTCCACTCTCGTCAACCTGCTGCACCTCGAATTTCGCATATCGGCCTCGAGCATAGGCGTTTCTTGCCCGATTGAAATATCCATCAGTTGACCCTCCGAAAATCATGTTAATGACTCCTCTTTTTGGTGGGAGTTCTTCCTTTTCTAGCGACCTCGCCCTCTTGCGAGGACTCTTACTCCTTTCTCGCCTCTTGCTCGACCTCTCACGATCTTTGTATATGAATTCCTTCAAGTGGCCCGCCTTTATCAACCTCTCGATCTCGTCCTTCAAGTGTCGACAGTCGTCAGTGTTGTGCCCGTAGTCTTTGTGGAATCGACAATATAAGTTGCTTTTGGGCTTCATGGGTCCGTCCTTCCTCATCCGCGGCCATTTCACCACGTCATCGCGAATTTCCCTCTCCATAACTTCCAGAATTCTCGCATGGGGAGCCGACAGGGGTGTGTGCTGAGTTGGTCTCCATCCCCTAGATCTGCCTTCACCCCTGTCAGCCCTCGGGGATCCCCTTCTATCTCCTGTTGACTGGCCCTTCTTTTCCTTCTTATCGTCCCGACCGTCAATTTGGGACATTTTCACACTCTGCAAGTAATCGGCTTCGGCCTCCTCGACATTCATATACTTGTCACACCTTCCCAACACGTCATCGAAACTCCTACCAGGTCGCTTGGCCAGAGAATTCTTACAGAACCCTGGTAGCAGTCCTCTAGTCAGTCCTCCTGATTTGATTTCCTCCGTTGCTGTCGGGCACTCGACACACGCCTTCGTAAATCTCGCCACATATTCTCGCAGCGACTCACCCTTCTTTTGTTGCATACTAATCATTGCGTCTGTCGTTAATGTGCATTCAAAAATATGATATGGAATCATGGGTTATTTGTTGTTATCCGCACAAAGTGTGTTTTTTATTTATTATTATTATTATTATTATTATTACTATTATTATTGTTATTATTTTTTATCTTTTCATTATTGTAGTGTTTTATTACTGTTGTCTTGTTATTCCATTTTGTATGTAGTGTTATCATGCGTGCATTATCCGATGCATAGATGAGCAATACTATTATATATACACGTGCAATGATCTATGTATAGTTGTGTATTGCAGTTTGTATAATCGTGCATTAATACCTGTTTTTATAAGTGTATGAAGTATATATACGCGCGTTAAATTCGTTTGATTTTTTCTATACTTGACATCGTCATTCTACAGACTTATGTTCAAGAGTTTGCATCTAAAACTCTACTGCTTGCCACAACTGGTGCCGAAATACTACAATTATTTGAAAGGGCGCCGCAGGTTTTGCTTGAAGATGATAACTTCTTGAAAATGCGAGATGCAGCCCAAAGACTTCTCGGTGTGTATAGCGAAGTACCTAAAGGTCACAATGCCCATCACGGACCGAGTCAACAACGCTGCCCAGAATCGAAGAATAGCGATGGAATAGATGGTAATGACAAGGGTGCCGCATACCAGACAGCTGACGACGCGTTCTGGAATTCACCTAAAACATTAGCGGCGATCACTGAAATCATTAGGGCAGCCAAACGACGGGACAAAGAACGAGCCCGTTTCAAGAGGATGCAAGAGGAGGGTCCCAGTTATAGTCTGGGTTTGTGATCGGATGATGATGATGTTGCTAATGATACCCGTCATCATGTGAATGTGGCAGATGCGGTCCTTGGTCGTGATATGGGCAAACATACAGTTGTGATGTCACCTGTAGTAGATGCACAAAAAGGTATGTGATTAAAGTTTTGTACAATATGTTGGTATACTTCTCATCGACGTCATTTATTTATTTACTTTTTTATTGTAAACCTAATTTTATGTGCTCACATGTGAAGCTGGTGATTCTGTGTTACGTGACAAGTTGACAATTATTGAAGAACCCGTACTGCCAACCGGAGAGTGCGAAGCCAATGGTAAACTTGTAATTATGCTTTTATTCGTAGTTTACAATATGTTACTATAAATCCTTTTTTTTCCCATTTTTTTATCAGAAGTCATTGACGACGTACCTCATGAGGAGGATGTACAGGGGTCCCCGAGGCCGAAAAGAAATATCAAGGCCTCAAGTTTTTCCAAATCGCCTTTTATGCAGAGGTCAATTGATGTTGTTAAGAAACTTGACGAGCATGAGAAGGTGGTCGCTATTTGGGCAATGAATAACGAACCGACATATGAGTATGATCACTTGTGTTTTTATTAGTATTTTATTTTTATTTTTATTGAAATAGCATACTATTAGATAATCTTATGTTGATATACGTGTGTGTTCGCATCTCGTTCTAACATTTTTTGTTTCGGTGTGCATGATTTTCGACAGTGGTGTTATCATATTCCAGTCAAGGTCATCAGAGTATTCCGCTAAAAAGTCCATTGTGTCCTGTTTGCTACCAAACACCCCGATTAGGAATGAGCTGCTGGATTTGTGGTCGGTTATTTTAAATCATATAGAGACCATGAAAACTCGTGGATCAGTAACATGTTTTTTTGCATCGACATCTCCTTGCACTGAGGTACGATACTTTATTTTAACAGTGCAATATGCTTATCATTAAAGTGCAATATGATTAACACTAACAGTGCAATATGTGTGCAACCCATGTTTCAGCTGTTTTATGATGGTAAACGGAAGAACAATGCGATCTACAAGAAGTTTTCTCAAACACTTGATTCAGAGATTGCCAGCCTGTCCAGTTATCAGTTGAAGCAAATATCAGTGGTAGTTGGATACTTTAACTCATTCTGTAATGGTTTCCATTGCGTCCTATTTTTTCATATGTTCTTTTTCTTTATTAGCTTTTATTTTCATATATAAAATATATGTGATCTGTTAATGTTGGTATGTTCACGATGTGTTTTATTTATTTGTTCGTTTTATGCAGTTCTTATTTCCTGTACACTCTGAGGTGTTCTCTGGCATATTGTGCATGACGCCATGCTTTCAAAAGTTCACTATACTGGATAGTGCTCGATTTTTAAAAGATGTGTCGGTTAAAAAAACACTGATGTCTCGCGCTGAGCACTTGGTAATTTTATAAAATTCCTATGATCAACCTTCGCTTGCGTTTCTCATTTGGTGTGTTATGCTAATAATGTCTCCATTTATCACAGCGACACTCATTTTCAAAGTATCTATGTGAGCGGCACATCGTGAAGAATTCAGAAGCAATTGCACTATGCATTCCGGACGTAGTTGACATAGGCTGGACTGAGGGGATTGACGTGGCGGACGCTGGGGTGATCACAATGCGTCATATGGAGACGTTCAAGGGCGGATTTGCTAAAATTTGGAATCCACAAATAAAGAAAGGAGATAAGGCGCAACTGACTCTTATGAGGAAGTGGTAAAGCTACGTCATAGCTTGTGCCCCGAACAACAAGCTGAAGGATGACAACCTCACAGAAGCAAAGAAATATCACCCACTGTACATGACAAAGAAGCAGGGTACCGCACCATGATCGTTTGAGCAACTATGGGAGTTACACGCGTTATTGGATCATGTCGATAGTTGTTTTTTGTTGAAACTTGTTGACGGTGAAGTGTTCCATATAGTATTCGGTTTTTGCATCAAATGTGTGATGGTTTTAATTTAGTACGTAGGCCGTTATCATGGGGACTAATGAAACCTTTTAGCGATTGACCTTTTGTGTATCTGTGATGTGTGGGCTGAATCGGTGGTTACCCACGTCTTTTTGCATATATAGCAATGCTGGTGCAGTATTTATGACGGTGTTATTTGTTGCTAATCATTTAACCGATATAGATTTTTTGTTACGTATGTGTACCGAATTGTGTGCACTTGTTTGTTACGGTATACGTGTTATACGATTGTGTGCACCCGAAACATATAGAATGTGCAATGTGCAATGCGTTATTGTGCGCCCACATCATATAGCATATGCAACGTGCATTGTATTGTCGTGTTGTACGTCGATATTACTTACATTGATATCATTTATTGGTTTGAATTGTCATCGTGTTATATGATGTACAATTAAATCATATATCAGTAGCAACGTGCGTTGTATTACGATACAATATAATGTGCGACTAAATCATTTAGTACGTGCAACCTACATAGTATTATCGTGCAACCGAAACATATGGACCGTGCATCATGCATTATATTGTCGTGATGTATGTTGTTACGACTTATATTGATATGATGTTATTGCTTGATTTGTCATCGTGTTATATAATGTGCAACGTGCGTCGTATTGCAGTATAATATAAAGTGCGCCTAGGTCATATATAATGTGCAACGCATATTGTATTACTGTGCAACCAAATCATATATAATGCGTTCAATATAGTGCAATATACACGTTGTGATTGTGTACGCTGTGCACACCCCATGAATATATAACTACGGATATATAACTAACATGATGTTCATCAACCGACGACATTAAAAAAATAATACTAATAACAATAAATAAATAGAAAAATGCCCGATATTATAACGTTTGTCGTAAAAAATAAATAAATAAATAACTAAATAAAACAACGCTCCGCAATGCCATGCGCGACTATCACCAACCCAAACAAGTTCATATATCATTTGGAACAAAATAAAATAAAATAAAATAAAATCAAGGATAAACATCCATAATGAAGTGATTGATCTGAAACACCTCCATCAACCTTGTAATATCCCTTCAGTATTAATGATGTTTCAATTATTGTTTCAGGAATAAGTGATTTCGAGGCCATGATAGTCAATTATCGGTTCGAAATTAAGAGTTTTTCAAGTGAAACAAGCCACACGAGTCGTGTGATGAGGCACACGAGTCGTGTGGGATGAAGAGATGATGATAGTGAAGCTTCGGCTTTCTCACACGAGTTGTGTGACAGAGGCACACGAGTTGTGTGAGGCCACACGAGTCGTGTGATCAAGCATACGAGTCGTGTGGTGTGATGTGATGAAGAATGATAGCTACGGCTTCTTCACACGAGTCGTGTGATAAGAGGCACACGAGTCCTGTGAGGTAGTGTCGGTTGAGAAGATGTGAAAGTTAAGCTTCGACTTTTACACACGAGTCATGTGACAAGAGACACACGAGTCGTGTGATGTCACACGAGTCGTGTGACATAGCACACGAGTCGTGTGACCGACGATTTGGTCTGATCATTGAGAATCCGATTTTTGATCTCAACCACAGCCTATTAGGTGATGATTTAATAAGAATTCTGGAGAGAATAAGTTAAATTCATAATAGTTTATGAATTATTAAATTTTCAAGACAAAATTCTTTATTATATCCATTTTTACACTCAACCTCTATGTCTTGGATTTGTGCCTATAAATAGAGGCTTCAAACTCAGAGTTTTTACACCAAATATATTTACCAAAGTTATATGAGTTTGTAAGAGAGAGTAAGAAGGAGAAATTTTGGAGAAGATAAGGACATTAGAGTGAAGAATCAAGTTTTTTTAACTCTACCTAGAAACAGGTAATTTACTTATCTTAATGCTTAAGTTCATGTTTTGATGATAAGTTTACATTATATAAGTATGTATATCATGATGTAGAAGTTGAGGTTTATAATTGATAACATGAGTTAAAGAGGTTAAAGATCAATTATATGATATATGTACTTGATGTGATAAGATGTTGATTTGCATGAGATTTTCATAAAGATATGAATATGCTGAAAAAGTATGATTTAGATGAGTAATTCTTATGTAAAAGAGGAGTACATGAGAACAAGAATTAAGTTATTTGGCATAGTATAACAAAAGTTATGAATTTTTGAAGATGAACATGCAATATGAAGTTTATGTTCACTATGACTTGAAATTCTAATAACTTGATGTATATGCATGCTAAAATTATGAAATTTTGATGTCATGAGAATATGATTGTTAAATTTCATGATTTGAAGATGAGAAATGAATGAGTTAAGATGACAAGATGGCATATATGTAAAGATGAGTATATATGCAAGAATAGTCATAATATGTTCAAGTTTAGATATTTATGATAAATTCTCATATGAGTGATGAACAATTTGACAAAGTTTTGGTTTAACATGTTGAGTATACAATTTTATAAAAAATTGTATTAAGTATGGCATATTAATATTATGATTTGATGTGATGTTTACAAGATGAATATGATTGAGTTTATTTTTACTTTTAAAATGTATAAGTGAAAAATGAGTATGAGCAAATATGAATGATTTGGAGAATATGATATATGATGAGTTAAGAGATTGATTGAGTAAAAGATTAAGAAAAGTTAATTTATGATTAATTAAATTTCTATAAGATTTGGATGAGTTATCCGAAAGAATTGAGAAAACCGAGCATCTTATTGAGTAAATGAGCATAAGTACTTAGTATATTTGTTTATATATTTTTATGTAGCTTGAGGAGTTTGCTATACGAGAACAACACTTACGATTTACAAACGACGAAAGGTGGGGACCCAGACTGGGTATTACATTGAGTATAATATTGGTATCATGTCCGAGGTATGTATGAGTTTAAGTTTATTACGCTTGGGAAGAAGGCCATTGAGTTGCCTTACGAGTACTTCCTAAGTTCTAATGGAGGCCGTTGAGTTGCCTTGAGAAATATCCATTAGATTGTGCACAAGTATCCGATGAGATATCGGTGAGATGATGTTGAGTTACTGGAAGAGTTTTAAGACCAGATATATACCGGAGATCATGATATTGTATTATTATTGCTGTTTACTTTAGTATGGGTATTTACGGAGTACAAGAGGATCAGTACTCACCCCCATTATGTTTTTCAGGAAACAAGGTCGGGCCGGAGGTGTGAGCTCGAGTGGTGGTGATGATGGTTGTGTATTTCAATAAAGGACATTTGAGAACTATTTGATAAGTTTGTATTATAAATACGCTTTCAATTATTCCGCTACGCATATTGATGATTGAACTTGCATTTTAAATAAAGTGATGATTTGAGTTTTTACCAATTTGAGAAGTATGAATATGGTTAAATGCAAGTTTAAAGAAAATCTATTTCGTTATGTCTAAAAGAGATATTAGACAAGAGTTTAAAGATAAATGGATTTTCAAGATGTAAGGTTGAGTAGCATCCCGAGTTATTTGCAAAAGATTTCGAAAGAGTTATAAGTATTTTCGAAGTAAAAGTTGCGAAAAAGTTACTCTAATAAGCGGGGTCGCTACAGGTGGTATCAGAGCTAGAGTTTAAGTGCTCTGTATACTAAAAAGTTTAAGTTGAGAAAAGTTTCAGGAAAACCGACCACACCATACTCACACCTCGCCGACTACCAGGTAAGTGTTGTTAAAATTTTTATGAAAGTTTTTATATAAGCAAATTACTAAGTCTATGCTCAATAAGATTCGGATATCCAAATTTAAGAAAAAAAGATGCTCAATCAAAGATGTTAATATCATATTTACTCTATCAAATGTGAGAAATTGAGATTATCGGGCTAATAAATAACTCGTATATGAATAATGACTTATATTGAGATTTTTGTTTCATCTTTTAATTGTGCTAAAGTTTATTATGGGATTAATAACCCAGATGGCACGAAGGGTGATTCAAAGAGAGATGACCTCGGCGGAAGTGGTAGCCCAATTCCGTGGCTACAATGCTGAGAAGTTTTCCGGACAAGGAGATCCTCGTCTGGTGGACGAATGGATCCAAGGTCTGGAGACGATTTTTGAGATAACTGAGTGCTCGGAGAAACATCGCATTCTCTGTGCTCAATTGCA